ATCTTCTGCATTAATAAAATGTGTAATTTACATTCTAAATTAAACAATAATTATTTAGGGTTTTTTTTAAATTTGTTGTATTGTTTTAAAATGGTTTTCAGTTTCTGCATTCTTAGGTTCAGTCTTCCTCTGTCCTCACAATCCTTACTTTTTTCATCCATGCCTGAAACCCTCCTCAAAGATTCCATCTAAAAATGTAAATATTGCCTGAAATACTTTCAGTTCACAAAGTTCCTCTCCAAAAATCATGCTTAGTTTCAAATATCATTATTTTTTATTTTCGGAAGGGTTCATCACTCAGCATATAGTATTATCAAACATTTATTTAATTTTGTGTTGCCCCTCCATATTGCATGGATTTTAACTGCTGTCTATTGTTCTGATTTAAATGCCCAAGTTAAGAGTTGACCAATAACTTGAATATTAACAATTTTTGTGCAAGAGCATACTTAAATTATCATTCTTACAGCAATGAAACCTAAAGCTATCTTTGACAAAAAAACATTAGGAAACAAAGAGAAAATATTAAAGGATGTAAGCCAGTTAACTTAAAAATATCTAAAATATTTTTGTGGAAGCCATGCCACTCCTTGATTTAGTAGTATTAATACTCAGAGAGTAACAACAAATTATTCAATAATACTCAAGATAATAGTAAGAAACTTAAAACAGTCAAGAGAAGACTTCTATAGCAATGAAGAATAGTGGTTTTAGTGCTGTAGAAAACCCACATAACATAGTTAAGAGTAACAAAATTTATTTATGGTCAAAAAATGTGGAAAAATTTTTTCAGCAAGTGATTCTGTCTATGTAGACAGTCTAATCCAAATACATTGATGAATCAATTTGGAAAACAGTAGTAAGTAGCAGCAGTAGGCAATATACAAAGTTACCACCTAAAACTTGAAATCTCTGAATCCAGAGTTAACATCTCAAAATAATCCTTGCAAGCAAAGTTACTGCATTAATAAGGAATGGCAAAATTGCTAATTGACAATGAGTCATCAAGCCACATCAGAAGTGGAAATTATTTATGTTGCTATATAAATGTTCAGTGCTGCTATTGCATTGGAAAGCAAAAAAAGAAGCAATCACCCTCTGCTTGACAGGTGGCTTATGAAGACAGCCTAATGATAGCAAAGAGGCTTCAGAGAGCTATCAGGGAAGTGTACTAAGGTCTGAAGTTATTTCCATTTTCTAACATACAGGAAAGTTGAAAGGGTTTTGTAAAAGATGTTTTCTAATTTATGGATTTAGTGATAAATGTGAAAGATATGCCTCACCTGTTTGCATCACTGCTGAGGATTCACAAAATATCTCAAGTTGCTCAAAACAAATGACCACTAACTTTAAATTTAATAATAAAGAAAATTATGGAATATAACCACAGAAGAAACCCCAAAAGAATATGGCAGTTATTTTAAGAGGTAGGCATCACAGCATTTCCATGGAGGGTTGAAACAGAGTTGTCTTAGTGACTGAAGAAGCCTACTAAAACTTTCCACTGCTGCCCTCCCAACAGATGTGAGATATAAAACTCCCACACACTGTGTATTGAAAAAAATCAGATCAGAAGTCTGTGTGGAAGAAGCATATTTTCTTCCCTAAGACTGTGATAAAATTGTCACTGATGATTTTGTGTTGGAAGAAGCTGCACATCAAAAAAGTTCTAATCTAGTACCTGTCACTCTGCAGTTGGGTCTACATGAGCAGGACCATGGACAGGGTAGTCAAAAGTAGGTCACCATGCTCCAGGTGACAAACGTAATTTCTGATACTGGTGCTGGCACTTGAGGACAGTTGGTTATAGGGCTCTTTCAACACTTGTGAGCTGTGGGGCTGAGGAGCCAGGGAGCATCAGGGCCACTATGTCACATATGTGCTGTCTGCCAGCACTGCTTTTAGAGGTGGAGGGTATGGGAGAACTAGGATATTATTAGAGCTGGTGCCTCCAGTGCAGTCACTGCAGTGACAAAAGGTTATTCCTCTAGAATTCTTCTTATGACTGAACACATCAGAGGATAAAGAAATCTAAGCATCCAGATAAATCAGGGGACTTGGTATCATGCTTACAAAAAAAATCCCTGTAATATACATTGTTTCTGAAGGATAGTCTGGGAGAGTAGAAAGAAGAGAACTGAAAATGTCAGTCCCTAAGACTGAATTTAGAATCCATTAAAGAAAGTAGCAGCCATTGCTACACATCCCTTATAGATTCTGATCAAGGTTTTGAAAAACACTTCAATGATTTAAGTGTTTTTCTCAGTATGTAATTTCTAAAAAGCTATGATTTTGAACATTAATATTACAGCATTCATGGAGCCCTGACGCTTTGTTCTGGAGCTTTGATCCAAACATGAAACTTCATTAATCTATAGGAAATAGTGACTGCCTATGGGATACTTCAGTTGATTATTCACATTCTCAGAGCACAAAAAACCCCACTACTGTACCAGCACTTTTTCTTAGGTGTGTGTTTTATATGGTTGCTATACTGACAAGCATTAGTGTCTAGTGTGGCTCTTAAACATTAAACAGTAGCTTTTCTTTGCCTTTAGCTGGAATCAGAGCATGTTTTTGATATATAAAAGGAATGTTTGAAATACATTACAATTTAATCTGTTTAATGTAATTTCTTGGCATTATTTCCATATGAACAGATACATAAAAAACAGGCTGCTCATACCAAAAACTAATCAGTACCAGGTATTCGAACAGAAAAATCTGCTGTAAAGCTGAAAGAAAAAAAATTTACTTTGTTTGATATGTGTAGAGACTAAAGTTATGCTCTAATTATTTGATTAATAATGCAATAGATGGAGAGAAATAGGACCTTTAAGCTGTTAGATCCATTTCTGAAAAAAAAATCCTCTCAGTTGAAGCAATTTATATTTTAATAAAGCTTTCTCAATTTATCATTCTTGAATATTGCTCTTTTTCCCCTCCCTTTTTTTTTTTTCTTAAAAATGATGATGATGATGATGATGATGGAAAGCTCTCTACTTTTTACCTGGAAAAGAAATTTGGTAAGCAAGTCGTCTTCTGCAAGTACTCTCAAGTACCACTTTTTATCCTGTTTGTTGGTGGAATAAAAAAAACCAACAATAAATGTATATGAACTTATATGGTTTGAATTTTTTTTAAAAAGCCTTTTGTAATTTTTGTAATTTGGTCAGACTACTACACTAAAAAAAAAAGCCATGGTAAGCCCTTTTGATTTAGATAGATAAATGGATTGTGTTTTTAGGACCCTGATTACATCTGTGTTCACAAGAATTTAGTCATTACGAAAATCTTCTTATCTAAAAAGGCTCATTTAAATAATCCTTAAAGTCTACATGATTGGACACATAATACTTACATTTCAATCTATTTCAAGGGACTGGAAATCAAAACCAATTTTGCCAAGCACTGGCCTGTCAGTGTTGTCAACCTTCCAGGAGGTATTTCAAGCAAGGATGCCAGGACAACTGATTAACTGGAAACTGGGTGTTACTATGCTATAGATGCTCGTGAAAATGGAGGCACAGGAGGCCTCAACTGCTTGTATGAGTTTTTGGTAAAGCTGCATTATGTTCTGAACCTAGAAAAGTCATAGTTTTTAGGTGGTTATGTGAAAGCAAATAAAGAAGAGTACAAAGGCCCTACAGAGGGATCTGGACAGGCTGGATTGGTGGGCCAAGTCTAATGGTATGAGGTTCAACAAGGTTGGGTTCTGCACTTGGGTCATAACAACTCCACACAGTGCTACAGTCTGGGGAAAAGGTGGCTGGAAAGCTGACCATTGGAAAAGGACCTGGGGGTGCTGGTCGACAGCAGCTGAACACCAGCCAGTAGTGTGCCCAGGTGGACCAGAAGGCCTGTCATCCTGGTTTGTATCAGAAATGATGTGGCCAGCAGGACCAGGGAAGTGATTTCCCCTCTGTAGTCAGCACTTGTGAAGCTGCATCTCAAATCCTGTGTTCAGTTTTTGGCCTTCACTATAAGAAAGACATTGAGGTGCTGGAACGAGTCCAGAAAAGGACAGAATAGCTGGTGAAGGGTTTGGAGCACAAGTCTTACGAGGAGTGTGTAAGACTCCAGGCCCAGAGCTGTGGACTCAAGAGCTCAGCTCTTGAGTTTTATTTTAATAGATATAGATATAGGTAGATATAGATTAGATGATATGAATGATATAGATATAGAAGTAGATATAGATATAGATGATATAGGTATAGGGTTCTTTAATACTTTGAGATAGTGTTAAGAGAATAAGCCATGGACTTGAACCCAAGGGGTTTCTTTATTAATTTAGGGGAGAAAATAAGGGAACTTGGCAAAGGTAGAAAAAGGGCACTACACAAGCTAGGCAAAATGTTCCACCACAATACCAACTCAGCACATACTAATCTGCAACACTGAAGATCCAATCAATCCACAACACTTAAGTCAAAATCAAATCCCTCCAGCTCCAAGCCACCCAAAGCATCAAGAAAGGAACAAAGAGAAGCAGAGGGAGCAAGAAGAGAGAAGGAGAAAGAGGGAGAGACAGATAATATAGCTACCACTGAAACCTTGTGGAAGACCAGCTTTCACAAGTCCAATGGCAGGGCTGAGACACGTGGCAAACATATGCCTTTCATTTTATCTCCTCTGGTCTTATGGCCAATCCCTCCAGGTGGGGTCTCTGAACCATCAGTCACTGTGGGGTTCCAGGCCAGGGTGAGGGGCAGTGTCCTCACTGTCCCTGCCAATCTGAGCAGGATTAGGGGCTCCAGGAGATGTGTTGTGTTATAGATTTCCTGGGCTGTTTGTGACTGACAGCTACTCTGGGGCTTCTCCATGTGTGTTCGAGGGGCCTGCCATGAGGGATACAACACCACCCACCTCCATGAGATTCAATCCATCTCTTCCCCCTCCACACACACGCACATGCACACCCCCCACAAGGTGGTTCTGACGCAATAATCACTGATCTGTTGTCTAACAGAGTGACTGAGGGAACTGGGGTTGTTTAACCTGGAGAAAAGGCAGCTTACAGGTGAACCTTCTCATTTCTACAACTACCTGAAAGGAGATTGTAGCAAGGTGGGAGTCAGCCTCTTCTCCCAGGCTTCTAGCAATAGGACAAGAGGAAATGGCCTCAGGTTGCACCAGGGGAGGTGTAGATTGGATATTAGAAAAAAACATCTTTACTGAAGGGGTGGTCAGGCACTGGGACAGGTTGCCCAGAGAAGTGGTGGAATCACCATCCCTGGAAGTATTCAAAAAGCATATGGATGTGGCATTTGGGGATATGGTTTAATGGTTAATTCAATGGTGCTAGCTTAATGGTTGGACCCTATAACCTTAGAGGTGTTTTCCCACCAAAAATGATTCTATGACTCTAGGGAATTGCTGAAAAGGGATGTGAGAAAAAGGTTCCTGTTGGAAGCACTCTTAAGTCCAGTGAGTCCTCCAATGAAAACTGGGATGTCAGTTGCAGGGTCTGGTTATATCCTACTAAGTTTGTGTTGTCATCTAAGTGTGCAGTCACTAGTTATATTTTCCCATTGCGTCCTTAATTAATTGCCATATCTGCTGTCTCATAGTTTTCAGTAAAAAAAGAGAAGTGACTTGAAAAAAAGCTAACAAATTATTTCTGAAGAACACCTATAGAATGATGCACAATTCATAAGTACATTAAAAAAAAGGACTTAAAAAGCTTAGTGAGCTTGGGGAACCTTAATAGTGAAATCTTACAATATTTTTTCTACAGTAAATTCCAAGAGAATATTCAGAGCTGACCTGACACCCAACTTTTCCGTGATAATTTTGGTACTTTGAATAGTAAAAAGTTTAGGCCATAGAAGATTTTTTCCCATTTTATTGGTCTTGTGCATGGATTACTATCTCAGAGCAACAGATGTATCTTCTGTGTGGGGACATCATCTTTCACAATCTGGTCTTTAGCTGTAGTACCAACCACAAAGTCTCTGTCCCTTCTTTGTCCGTTTCCGGTGATATCTGCATATCTTTACTGTGGATGTGTTTTTAAAATAAATCCCCAAAGAAATAGCTAAAAGCATTATGCATTCTGTAGAAAAGTATTTAGTTGTTGGTGTAATGAGAGATAACATCTAGAAGGTAATGGAGTCCTCTTATAACTAAAGAATTGTTTTTCATCTCATTATTTTCTACTGCTTTCTCTCTCATGGCAGACAATTTTAATGAAAAGCCTGCAATAGCTTCCCTTCTATCATGATAACCATTTATTGTTAAAATTCATTTTGTAATTCTGTGGGAACTAGAGAAAAGAGGAATAACATCAGTCAATAATATGCAAGTGCCTGAACAATCTTCTATATTTTAAGAATTAAGGAATAATTTATATATGAAATATAACTGTATAAATACATGCTTTAGTGCCTATTTTGTTAAAAATATAAGTCTTCAAAGACATAATTAGCTGACAGGTATGAGGCATTTTAGAATATTCTTCCAGAATAGCTGTGGCACTAAATCTTACTAAACTAATATTAATGTAAATCAGAAATAACACCTATAGTATCTGGGAAATTGTGCCAAAAGGATGGGAGTGAAATTGAAATCAGAATCTGACAAATTCATGAAGTGCAGCTACCCCAAAAGTATTTGCAAAAGCTATAGAAGCCAGAATTAAGCTCATAAATCCAAAATAATTCAGGCATGAGTCAAAATTCTATTCCTAAATCATCTCACTGTACTTTGCTATGTGTTTTGTTGTGTATACTGTTGAAAGACTCAGGTAATATAGCAGAAGACATCAGGCTGGTGACCTGTCACTACTGGTGTTCCACAGGGCTCCATCTTGGGCCCCGTACTCTTCAACATCTTCATACATGACTTGGACAAAGGGCTGGAAGGGATACTAAGCAACTCTGCAGGCGGCACAAAACTGTGAGAAGCTGTTGACTCCCCTGAAGGCAAGAAGGTCCTGCAGAGAGACCGTGACAAATTAGAGGAGTAGGCGATCACCAACCATATGAAATTTAACAAGGGAAAGTGCTGTATTCTGCATCTGGGATGGGGCAGCCCTGGATGTTTGTACAGACTGGGGAACGAGATGCTGGAAAGCAGTGCCGCAAAAAGGGACCTGGGGGTTCTGGTCAATGGCAAGTTGAACATGAGTCAGCATTGCTCTGGCAGCCATGTCCAGGGGGTGGGATCAGGCAAAACATCACCAGTCAGTCAAGGGAGGTGATTCTCCCTCTATGCTCTGCACTGGTGTGATCTCACCTTGAATATTGTGTGCAGTTTTGGGCACCACAATATAAGAATGATATTAGGCTATTAGAGAGCATCCAAAGGAGGGCAATGAAGATGGTGAAGGGCCTTGAGAGGAAGCCGTATGAGGAGTGGCTGAGGTCTCACTTGGTCTGTTCAGCCTGGAGAAGAGGAGACTGAGGGGAGACCTCATTGCAGTCTACAACCTCCTTGTAAGGGGAAGAGGTGGGTAGACACTGATCTCTTCTCTGTGATGACCAGTGACAGAACCCAAAGGAATGGCATGAAATTGTATCAGGAGAGGTTTAGGTTATATATTAGAAAAATGTGCTGCACCCGGAGGGTGGTTGGGCACTGGAACAGGCTCTCTAGAGAAGTGGTCACAGTACCAAACCTGCCAGAGTTCAAGAAGCATTTGAATGATACTCTTGGGCACATGGTGTGACTCCTGGGGATGGTCCTGTGCAGAGCCAGGATTTGGACTCGATGATCCTTCTGGGTTCCTTCCTATTCAGTGATTCTGTGAAGATATAAACTAAGGAGGAATCTCAATTGAGATTTTTCTTTCTTTCTAAATGTAAGGCGTTATTTAATATTTTGATTGCTACAAATGAGAGAAAAAAGCCTATTTAAAGTAAAAATAGTTGAACATTCAACACAAGGGTAAAAATCAGCTTCATATTTGCAGAACTAAATTTTACATTTTAATACCATCTCTACTAATTCTAATCCCTCAGTAACGTTGTGCAATAGATAACAAAATCCAGGCAATATTCTGCAGAGGGTACATGTATAGTTCATCAGTGTCTCTACGTTGTGTGTCTTGTCTGGTGAGCTCAGTGGGCAAAATACACATTTATTCTAGTGCATGAGGTTATTATTGCATTTTGTCTCACAGACTTAAAAATAGAATTTAAAGTTTTAGGGTTATCCACTTGCTCTCTTCCTGGCTTTTTATTCAAGTAGTTTCTTCAACTAAATAAGTGTATAACATTATTCAGAGTAAAAATGTTTGCAAATTGACTTACTTTTATGTATACAGGAAATAAGTGTATAATTGCTTTTAGAACCAAGCTGTTTCCAAGTCAAAATTACAGTTTGCTATCATGTGTTTGGCTGTGTTCTTAATGGTTCTTATATATGTGTGAAGTTATTTCAGCTTGTAGTTAGCAACTTTTATTAGGATAATTATTCTAACAGAATAAGATGTTACTGTCCTGGAGGAACCAGCTCTAAGAATTTACTTTAAATAAAAGAATTATAAGTAAAATAATAGTAGATTAGATTTAAGAATAAAAAAAAAAGCTGTTTTTCATTAGGCTGGTTTCCCCTGTTATGGTTTCTTGAGCTGACTCACAAATATGCTTTCATTATCATGTTAAAAAATATTGGAAGGGTTTGCACCTGCAAAGAATAGTTCCAGATTTTTTTTTAAAAAGGAAGTACAGGAAAGAGAATCTTTGCAATACAGTAGAGGAATAGATGAGAGCTCATGGAGACCAACCACCAATTTGAAGAGTAATTGCTTTCATCTTTTGTGTTAACTCTAGAAGCTAAGTTCCTCAAGTGATCAATGAGAACAGACCTACTTGAATAAGCCAACTTATTTGACATTTTCTAACATGTTCCAGAAAAACTGTTAATCAAAAGAAAATATTTCTTGACAAGCTTTTCTTTTTTATTTTGAAAAAACTAATAAACAAACAAATAATTAAGTAGTTTAACATCTTCTTTAATCACTCTCCATGTCTTGTTCAAAGATGTTCCCTGGTGAAATCATAATACTCCCCCCTTTCCACAGGATTATTAGGATTCATTAAATATAGCACCAACATCTTCTATAACATCAACATTTTGTATAACCATAAACTGTCACAAGTTTTCATTGCAAATGACCTAATTGATTTTTTTTTTAAACGGATGGGGTTTATTGCTATTCTACCAAGACTCTGGATGTGGAATGCTCTGTGGCTACACTACAAGAATGCATTACCAAAATGCTAGATTCATCCATTTCCTTTTTGGTTCTTGCACTGTTAAGAACAGTCTTACATATTAAATATTATCAATTTCTTTATTTTACAATGGCAATATACCACAGGATAAAAATAATTAATAGTGCTTATCAGATGGCAATTGTATGCATTTATTTGTTCTGCTATCCTGGATACATTTTTCTCTTTCTCAGAAATGCTGAAAATTATAATTTTGTTATATATAAATAATGATTACACTTCTCATTTTTCAAAACAGTCTTTACAACTCTGATTGTTTCATCTAGAAAATTCCTTTCAGTCCAAAAAAATGATAGAATATTTCAGGCTATGACAAGTTGTCAGTTTATATCAAGTAATCCTATGAATAAAACTAAAAATATAAATAAGAATTTTTAATGTTTTTTCCCATGACAGCAAAAATGCACTATATAATGTTACTCCCACAGTATCTTTGCAAATTAAGACTCAAAATGTCTCAATAATTTTGTGGTCATTTCACTAAAGATTTTGTTTTTTTTACAATATCAGGCTGCTGAAATGCAGTGAAATTCCATATTATAAGTTTCTACTCTTTGGTCTGGTGGTATCAGTAATCTCGAAACATCTTGAGAACATTATGTTTTTCTTTTCAGTTTTTATGCAAGATGGAAAAGAGCATGCTTTAGTAAATTCTCACATTTAACAATATAGCTTTACTGAAGTAAATGAGTGACTGACTTCAGTGTAGCTGAAGGTTTCAGGTAAATGCTGTGTTTCACCACTGCATAAACAAAGCATAGGAAGGAATATTCAGCTAAAATAATTTAGAAAATTGACCTGCTGTTCCTTGAGCACTGAGCTGTGTGATCTAATCATGTCAACTTTTGCCTGTTGTTCTGCTCAGAAAAGATTTTTCTTCTTCCCCCAAGCAATAAAGATAATTCATGCTCCTTCAACATTAGACAAATGTTACACAGTAAGTTAACACACACTTTTTGGAGGTTCTGCCATAATGCTCCAGTCTTCTTTTCTTTAAATGTGATAGCCTTCTCAGCAGGGCTGCTCTCAATCTCTTCATTCCCCAGACTGTACTGATACTGGGAGTTACCTGAACTTCTGAGGCAGAGGTGAGGCTGACAGGTTGGTAGTTCCCAAGGTTCTCCTTTCACTTGTTTTAAAAATAGGTTCAATGTTCCCCTTTATCCAGTCACCTGGGAGTTCATCTGACTGCCATGACTTTTCAAATATCATGGAGACTGGCTTGGCAATCACATCAGCATGTTCTCTCAGGACTTCAGGATGCATCTCTCTAGGTCCCACAGATATACATATGTTCAGGTGTCTCAACTGGTCATGAACATGATCTTCTCATACAGTGGGAGGAACTTTGCTCTGTCAGTCCCCGTCTTGGAGTCCATCTACTCAAGAGGTTTGGGAAGAATGAGGTAAAAAGTTTATTGAGAACCTCAGTCTTCTCATTTACCAGTTTGTCAGTGCTGTTTATTGGGAGAGAATTGGGGTTTACACCTTCTCTGAGCTTTCTTTTCTGGCTGACAAACCTGTAGAAGCTCTTCCTGTTATTCTTTTTATCCCTTGCTAATTTCAGCTCTAGCAGCACCTTTGTCTTCTTGAACCCATCCCTACACAACCAGACAATGTCTCTATACTCTTCCTGGGATACCTGTCCCTGCTTAGATTGCCTGTGCATTTGCTTATTTCCCTTCAGTTTGACCAGTTTGACTTCTGTTGTTCATGAACTCATGATAACTGCCTTCTTACCTGAAAATATTTTAAGTGAATGTTTTAATGTCATCAGAAAATTGTTTACATTTGGAAAGTCCACAGAGTTCAGGAAGGTCATTTCCTCTTCCCATGATGTTTCTCTCATCATTTAATTGATTATTAAAAAAAAAAAAAATTGAAACAAGATTTACAACTTTATACTTCATTTAGAACCATGTAGTACTGTATTTTGAATTGTCACATGTTCAAAAGAATATTTAGCTCTACTTTGACAGATTTTTTTTTCCCATTTTATCAGACAGGGTTGAATTGTGCATATGGAGGTAATTTCTTACCTTTTTCTACTGTGGTAATTTATATTGAGCTCCTATATGCATTAAAATAAATGGTGTAATAAAACTAGGCAATATATTTATTGCAATGATCAACCTTAAAGACTGCAGAAGAGAAATAATACCTTATTTCAAATGTGTGTACATACTATTTTTGTATTTGTGCTTATTTTCCTAGCTATTTTGAATGTGAGCAAAAACACATTTCTTTAATAAGTAGTGTATACATACTGAGCTTCAATGACAGATACACTGGGAGATAATTACATAATGGTTGATGATGCAAAGGTGAAATTGCAGCAGTTGACAATATTTCGTTACATATATTTCCACTACTCTATCTTTTATGGCTAAAAGCAAATAGATTATGACAAAGATGTACACCTAGAATGGTTTTACTATGACTAGAAGCACAGTCAATAATTCTTTCTTTCTTCTTTTCTTCATTTCTCCATTCCTTTCTTTCTTTTCCTTCCTTTCCTTCCTTTCTTCCTTTCTTCCTTCTTTCCTTCCTTCCTTCTTTCCATCCTTCCTTCCTTCTTTCCTTCTTTTCTCTCTCTCTCCCTTTTTCTCTCTTTCTCTCTCTCTTTCGTTCTTTTTCTTTCTTTTCTTTCTCTTTCTTTCTTTCTTTTCTTTCTTTCTTTCTTCCTTTCTTTCTTTCTTTCTTTCTCTCTTTCTTTCTTTCTTTCTTTCTTTCTTTCTTTC